TGGGCCTGCCTTTGCCAAAAACTAATAAACACTTTTCCCAATCATTACTAATTGAATGTTTTCATTCAAATCGGATGCTCCGTTTTCTCAAAAACTCGATTTCTATTTTCTGCACTCTTTGCTCTTTATCTCCGTAACTGCTGGACCTGCCTTTGCCAAAAACTAATCAGCACATCTCCCTATCTATAGGAATCGAATGTTTTTTGAACCATTCAAATCTGTTGATCCGTGCGCCCGAAAACGTGACTGGAAATTTGTATCCATACATACATACACACACGCACACATCCATTTTTTTGTGAGGTATGTCAAAATGTTCAGAAACCTTCATAACGTCGAGAAATGTAAAAATTTTCAATTTCGATTTTTGGCCCATTAGAATAACTTACCCTACGGGAAGTTAAAAATTAAAATTGAAACAACTTTTTTTTCCAACAGCCATTATTTTATTAAAACAAGCTGAAAGTTTTTGAATCATTCAAATCGGACGTTCAGTTTTCTCAAAAACTGCCATTTTTTGCACATTTAGCTCTGTATCTTCGAAATGGCTGGACCTGCCTTTGCCAAAAACTAATTAGCACACCTCGCTATCAATAGGAATCGAATTTTTTTATAACATTCAAATCGGTTGATCCTTGCGCTCAAATACGTGGACGAGAAAATGCGGGCATACAAAACACACACACACACACATCCATTTTTTCTGAGGTATGCCAAAATGTTCAGAAACCTTCAAAACGTGAAGAAATGCAAAAATTTCATTTTCGATTTTCGGCCCATTACTATAACTACAGGAAGTTAAAAAAGAACAGAGTTTCAATAAAATCGTCTTTTTTTGCAAAAATCAATTACAAAGAAACGATCCGACCGATCTTTTCCAATAACTAATATACGCGATTCTCCAATGATATCCTTAAATTTGCAAAATCGGTTAAAGTTATTTTATGAAAGCCGAACGCACTATTTAGCACTTCTGCTAACTCCAGAGACTCGGTTGATCGGCTCGAGAAACTAAGTAACGAAAGTGCTTATTGAGTTTGTGTGGATGGCTTTTTAGTTTTCAAAATCGATTCAGCCGTTTCTGAGAAAACACCGATGAAAGTCAAATTTGACTTATGTCAAAAAAAACGCAGCTGCAAAAATTCAAATGCCGATAGATTTTTTAAATTAAACGACCTGACACAGAGCTATAATATTTAAAAACCGCGATCTCTATTGTGAAAAAAAGTTTGTATAAATTGCTGACAAAAAATAGAACTATCAAAATTTTTTGCTAATTATAAAGAAGTTGAAAATGATAAACGCAGATCCCAATCGATTTACATCGAATGGCTATAAAATTTTTGACGCAATATATATAAATAATTTAATAATGATATTAGGGAATTAGCAACTTTGATTTATTTATTTGTTTATTTAGGAATTATTTATATAAAATAAATGAATACCAAAATAAAATTTCAAATGTGTCATTAAAATTATATTTGTACAAACACATTCGTGCTAAATTAATTTGTGATTATTAAATTAGTCTTATATGATCTTCAAACTAATAGTAGCATGGGGGATGGTGATGAAAATAAAGAATGTGCCGTAAAGCAGTTATGGACCAAGAGAAAAACCACTACCCATCGTGGACGAACTTTGAGTCCTAAAGATCTCGAAAGAAAGCTAGAGACTCGCAAAAAATTATGCAGCCTACGTAAAATTCTCAAGGAAAATTCTTCAGGTTGTGATATTAAATGGAGCCTTTTTGTTTCGGCATGTAACAGTTACTTTTATGAGGAATCAGTAAATCCTTTTCCTCCCGAATATGTTAGACGGCACACTGGTAAAGACATCGAAGCATTGTTACGAGTTATAGGAGACACACCATCTTTTTCGTTAATTTTAGAGCAGAAAGGTGATCGTTACATATGTCCTTTAAAAAGATCGGTAATAGACTTGTTACATTGGTTGTTAGTTGAAACCAGTGAACCGATAATAAAACTAACTGATTATGACGAAGCTGAGTCAGTAATTGGCTTTATTTCTAGTCAATTAGCAATACCAAAACCAAATTTAATTTTTCGAGTGCAGTACTCACAAAATAGTGAAGAAGAGAAACGCTGGAAGTTAATCGCTAAACGAACCCAAGCAGTACATTTATGCTACGGTAACAAACTAGAATACTTTTACACGGTACTTCACAAAGGTATGAAATTAGTAGTCAATGAATCAAGATCTACTGATTCTGGAGTATATCTTTCTAACGACATTTGCGACGCCATAGGCAAAAGTCCAACGGGATTCGGTTGGGGTGGCAGCGCCTTTGGTGCTCGATTATGTTGCGTGGCCGTGTGCGAATTAGCCGATCACGACCAATTCATGTGCTGTATAAAATATCCCGAAAATAAAGTAACCAAAGTTCCATCTCAGATAATAAAGCATTACAACGTACATAGACCAGATCTCGCACGTATTAGGTACCTTTTGATATATCGCACCAACGATAATAATGAGGAAGATCATGACGCTCAATCAAAGAGGGGAATGCTGAATTGGATGAAAAATCATAAGTTTGCAACGCTAATGGTGTGTTATAGTATATTATTAGTGAGCACAGCTATAACTGATCTTTACTTTTTGTAAATAAAAAATTATGTATTTTCATAATATAACGTTGTATTAGCATATTCATAAAATGTATGAGAATGCTAATATGTAATAAAAATTTGGGAGTTTGGATTTTGAAATATATCGTTATAAAACGAAAATGTTTTCTTTTATAAAATAACTGCACCTGAAATACTTATTGAAATACCTATATATTAAAAATAAATTATAATTAAAAATTAAACTTATTTTTAAGTGATTTTTAACATGTAAGCTTTTTTAAGAGTTGTATAAACTAGTTGGTATTGGTATTTTGCTTTGCTCCGATATGTGTAAATAATCGACTTAATCAATAAAAAATAAATTAACTTATGAGTGATTAAAAGTATTCCGAATGGATTTATTACACATAATTGAAAACGAATGATCACGTTAACTCGGAATATTTTGTAAATGCAATTTTTTAAAAATCAATAATTTTTATAATTGAACCAGTTTCCGTAGAACTTTAATGGTTTAGTAAGTTCATTAAGACCAATTACTCTATCGTTATACCAAGTAAATCGTCTAATTTTAATTTTAACAAACGTCAAAAAACTTCTCATTTTCTCAAACTTTGATGAATTTTTGAAATTAAACTACTTGCGGTAAGGCCGTAATATTTCAGTAAGTTCTATAAAACCATGATATATATCGTTAAAAAAAAGTTCCATAAAAACCGGCTTCTGTTTTTTCAACAGTTAATTACAAGAAAATGGCACGGTAGATTTTCACCTAAAACTAATCAGCATCATTCCCAACTAATATCTTTCGAACAGTTTTAACTTCCCGTAAAATCTAATTAATTTTATAACATGACAGATACATTATGGAGCTCTTTACACATCAATTTAATAAATGCAATATCATAAAACAATGATATATATGTAAGAATATTAGATATTATGTAATTCTATATCCAGTTTATAAAGCCAAAAATCTTCCCGTAGGGTAAATTATTGTAATCGTTCAAAAATCGAAATTGAAATTTTTTGCATTTCTCGACGTTTTGGAGGTTTCTGAACATTTTGGCATACCTCAAAAAAAATGGATGTGTATGTGTGTGTGAGTGTGCGTGTGTGTGTTTTGTGTGTCCGCATTTTTTCGTCCACGTTTTCGGGCGCACGGATTAATCGATTTGAATGGTTCAAAAAGAGATAAAGAGCAAAGAGTGCAGAAAAAAGAAATCGATTTTTCGAGAGAACGGAGCATCCGATTTGAATGATCTGAAAAACATTCAATTAGTAATGATTGGGAGAAGTGGTGATTTTTGGCAAAGGCAAGCCCAGCCATTTCGAAGATACAGAGGTAAATGTACAAAAAATGGCAGTTTTTGAGAGAAATAAGCATCCGAATTGAATGATTCAAAAAACTTTCTGCTTGTGTTGACAAAACAATGCTTTTGGAAAAAAAATTCATTTGTTTTTTTTTCGTATCTTGAAAATAAATCAGATTTCAATTTTAATTTTGGCTAAAGTTTTAAAGCTCACATATATATATATATTAAATAAATATTTTTGACTTTGTGATTCAGTTAATATAATTCTTATAAATATTAGACAAAATGTTACTGTACTTATAATAATCTATTTGAAAACATTTAATATTCCTCGAATATTTCGTTACGATACGGCAAGTTCGAGAAATTTGCCTCAATGCACGATGCCTTACACCTTCCCAAAAATTTAATCAGTTCTACATCTTGTCAATACAAATAATTTTCTTTGTATTATTAAAATCGGACGTTCTGTTCTCTTAGAAACTGAGTTACCGTTTTTGGCACTTTTTGCCCCGTATCTTCGAAACGGCTAGACCTGCCTCCACCAAAAACTAATCAGCCCGTCTCCTTATCAATACGAATCGAATGTTTTTTGAATTATTCAAATCGGGTGTTCGTGCGCCCGAAATCGTGGACGAAAAATTGTATCCAAACATACACTCACACACACACATACATCGCATACATCAATTTTTGCTAAGGTATGCCAAAATGTTCAGAAACCTATAAAACGTGAAGATATGCAAAAATTTTCATTTTCGGTTTTTTGCGATTACTATAACTTACCATAAGGGAAGTTAAAAATTCAAAAGGTTTCAAAATTTATTTCAAACTTTTCAAACAATTTTAAATTACGGCACGGGAAGTTCCAGCAATTTGCATTAGCACGATGCCATGCACCACTAGTTAACATTTAATAATAAAAAAAATCAATATTTTTGATGTTATCGGTAATACAATAACAAAAATCGTACAAACCGCGTTAACGATCATATGAATTGCGATGCTTGACTTCAACAAAGCAATTGAAATGCGCGCAAAGAGCATTTATTTGTATTAACATACTATGACAGCTTCCAGCAGTCACGTGCGATTTCACAGTCGCACGTGATCTTAGCAAAAGATAGTACTTCTCATTAGTAGAATACTGAACGTTTAACATTTAACATCGAGTTCAGAATTTTAGTTCGATTTACGGGGTACAACCCGCTTATTTTGTATCAAGGTATGTGGAATTCTAATATTGGACATTTGATTCAAATTATATATATATATATATATATATATATATATAAATATATATACACACTTAACATATATTGTGTTAAATATATATCGTGTGTGACTTTGTGCTGTTTTGTTATAAGTGCTAGCAACATATATTAATTTTTTTCCAATTAATTATACTCTGCCTGGTTATGCATTCAGTAATTTTGGTAATAAATGTGAAGATATAACATTTTACAATGCTACTCACTGGTAGTCCTTTAAAGTTTGAAAACAAATGAGATAAGGATACAGAAAAGTAATAATAATATTAGAGTTTAACCACGCAAGGTCAATGAAAACCTAATATTTCGTTAATTAATTTATCCAAAATCGTTATATAATTTCATTATATATACGGAATCTTAATGCAAATATTAACAAAAACAATGAATAATTTAAAAAATAATATATCACTAATATATTATTTTACAAAAATCTAATTAATTTATGTACACGCCTAAATTACCTTCGTCAACACAGAAGTCACAAGAGCGATGTCACATGCCTCGCTAAAATGCACGAGGTACCACAACATATCAGTTTCGCAATTATTTTACTGTAAAAAAAAATAGTCTACGAGAGTTTATATATTCAAATTAGTGAGTATTTTTCATTCTTATTGTTTAAATTTTATATTTATTTGCAAGGATTTGATAGAATCATACGAGTGCATAAGATTTAGTAAGGATCTGACAGAATTAAGGATTGCATAAGTTGTTGATGATTTCCGGTAGAATTACATGTCAATTTCGATAAAGATACTAATATTCATGTAATTAACTAATGTGACTAATGTTAACTTTCCGTAGGGTAACTTATAGTAATCGCAAAAAAATCGAAAATGAAAATTTGTATATATCTTTACGTTTCAAAGTTAGAGAAAATGAATGTATGTGTGTGTGTGTATGCGTGTACGTATGTGTGTGGGTGTGCGCGGATACAAATTTTTGTCGACGATTTCGGGAACACCGATCAACCGATTTGAATAATTCAAAAAACATTCGATTTGTATTGATAAGGAGATGTGCTGATTAGTTTTTGGCGAACGGAGGCCTAGCCGTTCCGAAGATACGGTGCAAAAAGTGCCAAAAACGGTAACTCAGTTTTTAAGAGAATCGAGCGTCCGATTTTAATAGTTCAAAAAACATTTCACTTGTATTGACAAAATAAACAACTAATTAATGTTTTGGGAAGGCAGGTCCTGTGGTAATGGAGTCTCAATAAAAATAATTAAAAAAATGTCTATTGGCGGTCAAAAATGTTTATTGGACATATGAACATCAAATTATCAGATATTTTATAGAGATTTTAATAATTTGAACACATTTTGTGTAATTTTTTTGGTTCCGTACCAAGATTTTTAATTACGGTACGGAAAGTTCCAGCAATTTGCATTAAGGCACTATGCCATGCACCCCACTAGTCGATTTACCTAAAAATTAACATATATAATAACCATATAATAACTATTCTCAATGAAGATTAATATTTTAATGAAATTATATTTCTACTCGTATGTAAGGATTTGACAGAATCAAGGGTTGTATAAGTTGTTGATGATTTCCGGAAGAATTACATGTCAATTTTAAAAAAAGTGACTAATATTCATGTCATATTCTCATGAAAATTAGCATACATTTCATGGAACTATATACTTACTTTACTTACTTACTTTACTTTACGGTTACTTTTTTAATAAAATTTTTTGTTTTTGTAAGGATTTGTTAGAATCAAGGATTGCATGATTTGTTGATGATTTCCGGTAGAATTACATATTAATCTTAAAAAACGTGACTAATATTAATGTCATATTTTCATAAAAGTTAACATACATATTATTAAACTATATGCATATAGCTTGGGTTACTATTTTAATAAAATTTTATATTTTTGTAAATATTTGACAAAATTAAGGATTAGAGAGATGGTAGAATTACATATCAATCCCGAATAAGTCACTAATATTTATGAATTATTTACATGAAGATTTAAAGTAAAAATTTGATCGGCACATTAATTTAATTACGTATTGTTGGGATACATTTAAATTTGATTGACTAAATGAGCCCGCATGCATTGCATAACATTTCTTTACAGTACTCATTTATTCACTATTATTATTATTGTAGAATATATATATATATATATATATATATATATATATATATATATATATTATTCATGTGTGTGTGTGAATCTATACGAAAGTATACATATGTTATCGCATATAAAAACATATTGAGATGCAATTTAGTTTATGCGTAAAGTTGACCTTCAAATGAAATGATTCATAATAGATAAGTGTACCTATTGAATTAAGATTTGATTGAACACCTATTGAATAGTATATTAGTACGAGTAATTTATTTAGTTGCAATCCGAACATAAGAGTCGTATAGGCTGTCGAGGTGATAATTCTGAACTACGTGGTTTTGTTCAAAGACAACCAAAAGTTTGTCCAACGTACTTATATCTACATTTGATATATTTTTAACTTCCCGTAGTATAAGTTATAGTAATCGCAAAAAATCGAAAATTTTTACATATCTTTACGTTTCAAAGGTTTCTGAACATTTTGGCATACCTCAGAAAAAAATGATATTTGTGTGTGTGTAGTATGTATGTATGTTTGGATACAATTTTACCTCCACGATTTCGGGCGCACGGATCAACCGGTTCAAAAAAACATTCGATTCCTATCGATAGAGTTTTTGGCAAAGGCAGGTTCAGCCGTTACTAAGAAAAGGAGCAAAGAGTGCAGTAAATAGAAATCAAGTTTTTGAGAGAACGGGGCATCGATTTGAATGATCTAAAAGACATTCAATTTGTAATGATTGGGAGAGTTAGTTTTTGGCAAAGGCAGGTCCAACCATTTCAAAGATACAGAGCTAAATGTACAAAAAATGGCGGTTTTTGAGAGAAAAAAGCATCCGATTTTAATGATTCAAAAAACTTTCTGCTTGTATTGACGAAACAATTGCTTTTGGAAAAAAAAAATATTTCGCTTTTTTAAAAAACAATTTTATCAAAAATAATTCAGATTTCGATTTTAATTCTGTCTAAAGTTTTAAAGCTTACTTATATACTTTAAATAAATAATTTCCACTATGTGATTCAGTTTATACAATTCATAAATGTTGGACAATGTTACAGTATTTATAATCATCTACTTGAAAACATTTAATATTCCTCGAACATTTCGTTACGGTACGGAAAGTTCCAGCAATTTGCCTTAAGGCACGTTGCCAAACACCACTAGTTTAATATTTTTTCAAAGTTTCCCGCATTTTCCTATTCAACAGTAATCAATATATCTTCTGTAATTTCATTTTCAAAGGCAAAAAAAGCGTAGTTTGTAAAAATTACTATACGCAATGCATTATCAGCGAGCCATAAAATGTAAGCCTTATCTTGCGAGTAAAACATGGATTTGCTCAATTATTTCATAAATTTTTATCCAAACAGACTATGTTCTAAAAATTCTGCAAATGTGGCATAATTTTTTTAACAAATATTCAAATTTCGATCTTGAATGTATCAAAATGTGATTTATACAATATTTAATATTTTCACATTTACATAACGATTTGTTAGTTTTAAAATCTTCACAAAATAAATTACTAAAAATACACAAAAACTAAACTTAATTAAAAGAGTAAATTGATAAAACTTTAACTTTAAATAATCATTTGATAATTGTTTGTGAATTTTCTTCTAACAAAACACTTCTCATGTTGATTCTTTTTTCAAAGAGGTGAATTAACTTAAGAGAATTCAGAAAAAGATATATTCATATAAAATTACGAGTTATACGAATATAAAATGAATCAACAATTATTTTTTGTACTCTAAAATTATTTTGTTAGAAGATGTAAACATACATACACACTTATATTAAATTCCCTGATTGTGAGAATAAATCTCTAATTTGTATTTTTTGAACTCTTCAAACTATAAAATCTAGGCGATATAGACTTTAAGTATTTCCTTTTTTAAATGTAAAATATATAGGTATTTCTAAAATAATGAACTAGTGGTGTATGGTATCGTGCCTTAAGGCAAATTGCTGGAACTTCCAGTACCTTAATAAAATATTAGAGGAATATTAAATGTTTTCAAATAGATTATTATAAATACTGCAACTTTCATTATTTTGATTTTATAAAACGTAAATAAACAAGACTTAATTAGTCGGATTTAAAGTGAAGTGCATTGATTTATAAGAATTATATAAACTGAATTGCAAAGTTAAAATTATTTATTTAAAGTATATAAGTGATGTTTAGAATTAGAAATATTAGAAATATATAATTATTAATATAAATAGAAATATCTGGATTATTGTATTATTTTCGATGTTAAAAAAAATTTGAAATTAAAGAAAATAGAAGATAAAAAAAATCCCCAAAAGCAGTCATTTCATCAACACAAGCATAAAGTTTTTTTATGCTTAGTTTTCTCAAAAACTGCCATTTTTTACACATTTAGCTCCGTATATCTAAAACGGCCACCCCTGCCTTTGCCAAAAACGAATCACTAATTTTCCCCATCATTACAAATTGAATGTTTTTTGGATCATTTCAATCGGATGCTCCTTTCTCTCAAAAACTCAATTTCTATTTTCTGCACTCTTAGCTTCGTATTTCCGAAACGGCTGGAGCAACTTCTGCCAAAAACTAATCAGCACGTTTCCTTATAAATAGAAATTGATTTTTTTTTTAAATAATTCAAATCGTGTGTTTCAAATAAATATTCAAAACATCTCTATTCATTGACTAAAAATTGTAACCACACATACAGCCGCATACACATAAATTTTTTTAGGGTATGCCAAAATGTTCAGAAAGCTCTAATACGTGAAAATATGCAAAAATTTTCAATTTCCATTTTTGGAATACTTCATATGTATTTCATTTTTGGTATAATCATTTTACAGGAGCGGGTGTTGAATAGGCCACATCATGGGGGCTATGTTTCGAAGTGAGGAGATGGCTTTATGCCAGATGTTTATTCAGCCTGAAGCTGCTTACACTTCAGTTTCAGAATTGGGAGAAGCTGGAACCGTCCAATTTAGAGACGTGAGATTCAATTGAGATTAAATAATGATATATTAAGATAATCTTAAAACTTGATTGCATGACATATTAATTTTAAGTTTCAAATTGTGATCTTTATTTTATATAAAGTCCAGTAATTTTTCTTTACTTTTAAAACATAGAAACAATATAAATATTTAAAATTATTGTTTGTGTGCCAAGCCTGAAATAAGAATTACCTTTTAGGAAAGAAAATTATTTCTAATATATAACATATTAACATATTTCAACTTAAATGTTCATATTGAATTTAAGGCTAGCACAAATGCATTTGAGGGGTATCTTTACTTTCTGAACAAATAATTCTTCAAACAGCTTGACTGCAAATCGAAGAAATTTGTACTTGCTACTACTGGTTGATAGTAATTGATGGTCATTGATTCTGAAATATTATTCTCTCAAATTCCATAGCTTTATATTATGAAATATCTGACCAATTTAAATGTATTTGATAGAATCAAATATTTTATAGCAAAATTAAAGAATAAATTAATTTATTTAATAAATAATATGTTTACAACTAGTTGAATGTTGATGTTAATTCATTTCAACGTAAATTCGTCAACGAAGTCAGGCGTTGCGATGAGATGGAGAGAAAGCTCCGCTACGTAGAAACAGAAATTAACAAAGACAAAGTGTCTGTACCAGATGTTCAAGACGTTCCCCATGCTCCTAATCCAAGGGAAATAATAGACCTAGAGGTTTGTGAGTTCGTAAAGATTTATACGAATAAATTTCCATTGTTGTCTCAATTTTCTTATTGCCTTTCAGGCACATTTGGAGAAAACAGAAAATGAAATCATGGAACTGTCCCAAAATGCAGTCAATCTTAAATCCAACTTTTTGGAATTGACAGAACTCAAAAACGTTCTAGAAAAAACACAGGTATCATCTTTTTCTCAAATGTATAGCTATCAGCTGTAGTTCAGGAAGCTGACATTATATACGATATGTATATTTGTGATCGCTATGCTATTACAGAGCTTCTTCGTGGAGCAGGAAGCAGCCATCAGCTCGGATTCCATGTCCGCAAATCTTATAGATGAAGGAGCCCAATCTGCCAATCGCGGTCGCCTTGGATTCGTGGCAGGTGTCATTAAGCGGGAACGCGTGCCGGCTTTTGAGCGAATGCTGTGGCGTATTTCGCGCGGAAATGTTTTCCTGAGACGCGCCGAAATGGATCATCCTTTGGAAGACCCCGCTACCGTAAGAATTAGAGCATATTGTTTTCCTTATTACATTTTTAACCTTGACTTGGTTAGGTCTGATTTTACAGATAATTTTTAACTGAATTATTTATTCATAGGAAAATCTGTGGAATAAATGACTCAACGTCGTGTTGAGTTTTTTTCAATTTTTTAAGAGAACGTAATGATTAGCCTGATCTTAAACTCAACATACTACTTTAACTATTGCATGCAATGCCATTCTTTTTCATTTTCATTTTATATTTTTATAATATTTACAAATTATTTAACTACATAATACACATCGAACCACCGAGAAAGTCTAACAACATAATACAATGCACTCGCTGTCAACTCTTTAATCACACCAAAAAGTACTGCAATAGACCATTTGCTTGCCTAAAACGCGGTGATAATCATAATACAAAAGCTTGTACCAAAGATCTGAATGCTTCGGCATATTGTTATTTTTGCGACGGTACTCATCTAGCTAATCATCGCGGTTGCACTTACTTAAAAATTAAAGAACAAAGAAACAAAACTCCAGTAATATCAATCAGTCATAAATCCAAATTCATTAAACCAAAATTTTAAAAATTCTAAAAATTTAAACAACATTTCTCCCGTCTTAAAGCCAAAAATTTATGACTCGACCTATGCAGACATTGCAAAAAATAATTATTCTGCTTTCCATAATTCACCTTCTAATCCCGAATCGGATACTTTAGCAACATTTATTTTGGAATTTAAAAATATCTTGAATCAGCTTATGCAACAGAACACCATTATAATGAATATGTTATCCACGTTAGTCAACAACATAAGCAATGGCAAAAAATTGCTGAATGGAATGACAACGGTTTACTACCTCACAAAAATGAAGTACAATGTTTTTTAAAAATTAACTTAATAGATATCTTATCAATCTCAGAATCATACTTTACAGAAAAAAACCTACTTTAAAATTTATAACTATACTACATTTTATGGGTAAAAATACTTGTAGGTTATAGTGGAGCTTAATATGCCGCAGATAAAAGGTACAATCACCATTACGTCAACAATAAGTATAGTTAAGCATTTTGAATAACATTATTTGAAAGTAGAGTGCAAAAGATGTAAAGTGTAACCAGCCATCGTTTCAAATCAAGCAACTTTGCTGTCAGATTATAAACGTTTATGTTTGAAAATTTTCAACAGAAGTATTTTCTTCCCTTATTAGATTTTATTATTAAATTGAGCTCTGTTTAATTTACGAGATCTCAATATAGTTTTAGAGTTCACATTATTTAAATGTTCTATAAGATGTATTTTTAATTTTCTAACTCTGCTGATGATTCTTTCTGACAAAATACCTGATTTGCCACTTGGCTGACCCATTTTACCATGCCCATTTTATCCAGATGTTTAAATTGATGAATTAGTTTCACCTAACATAGTCAGATAGTGTTATTTGTTGTGATATGATTTGTGGGGTAACATAGATAAACAAGTATAACAAGGTTTGGAACAATTTCTCAAAGTCAAATTGGCCCAAACTGCATCGCATTGATTAAATAATTTAGCGATTACATCATAAAACCTTTTTTAAAATAAAAATAAAATGGTGTATCATTTTGCCCCTGGCTCCCTGGCTGCCTCTTTTTGCACTTCTTTGCATGGTTTTTGTTAACGCTTTAAGCCACAATCTTAAATCGATTTTGAAAATTCGAAAACTGCTTGAAAGATATTGTTTTTGGTAAAGACCGGCCGGGCCGTGTCTTCGTAATTAATTTTTTTTTTCTCTTGAGTATTTGATACTTGTTAAAACTTGATAAAACATTGTACGACGATAGATTGCGATAGTCTAAAATAACATACAAAAATATTATAGATTATAGCTACGATAAGCCATTGAATTTGAAAACCATCAAAGTTCAGACCTTTGCCGTGCGTTTGAGCGATTCTAATCAGAATCTGTGTGTAGCTACTGATTACAGTCGACGTGCGCGCTTAAATTATAAGATATATAAAATAAAATACATTTTCAGAACGCGAAATAGATGAAATAAAATGTAGTAAATAAATTTATACAATTATAGATATTATAAGCATGTTTGGAATTCCAAACCAATTGGAAATCGCATTGATTAGTGAAAGCAAAAATTTCATTGTTGATGAAATGTTGATTAATCAACATTTTATCTAAATGTTATCAACATGTTATCTAAATATCTGAATCTCATTTCTTATTGATTAAGATGATTATTCATAAGTATACGAAAGTCAATGCAACTTGCCTTAAGGCAAAATTCTACTCACGACTATTAAATTTTAACCCTTTCCACTTGCAAAATGTGGCTTTACGGCGGCATCCGAGTGGAATAGGTTAATATTTAAAATAGATTTAAAAGCAAGGAACTTAACGAAAAAAAACACGAATTAAAAAACTTCCCCATTTGCAATTCATTACTATATTTGTAATCCATATTCAGGGAAACGAAATCTGGAAAACAGTGTTCGTCGCTTTCTTCCAAGGAGAACAATTGAAAACTCGCATAAAGAAGGTTTGCGTCGGATTCCATGCTTCACTTTACCCATGCCCAAGTGCCCATTCTGAGAGACAAGAAATGGTTGCTGGAGTCAAGACCAGATTGGCAGATCTTACAATGGTAAACTTGGAGATAATAAAATCTTAATCATTAATAACAAATTATATGATAATTATTTCATGTCGAATATCTTAAGTAATGATTTAAAAAAAACGAATATTAAGTTAAATTAATGGTTTTGATATATAGGATTGTTTTATGACAATTTTTGCTGATATTTGTTATTAATAATATTACGTACGCGAAAGTATCAGATAAAAATTTATAATGTATGATGGATGAAACGTAGTCTATGTAAGTATAACGATAAATTTAATTATTTGGTCATTTTCTTCATTTAGGGATAAGATCATTTAGGGAAAATCATTGTGATATTGTTCTAGAACACATGAAATTTTAACTTAAAACTATTAAACAATTAAACTTAAAATGATGTCTTCCATGGCGTAACAGTCACGACCCCGTGTGGATTAATTCTACTTGACCCCGCGATGTCTAATTTTACTTAAAAATTAGATCAAATATATGTTTTCAATTGAAAATAAGCACATTTTGGACACTGTAATGTAAAATTAAAATGGAAAATCTTTTACATTATTCTTCCCTGAATGAGTTGAAGTTTGACCCAGCTCACGAACTTGCCCTAGACAATCAACAATCAGCGATATCAGTTTTACTTAAAAAATTAGATTAAAAATATGTTTTCATTTAAAAATAAGCTCTATTCCGGCACTGTGGTGTGAAACGGCAATGGAAAATCTTTCACACCATTCTTCCCTGAATAGAGTTGCAATTCAACCCAGCTTACGAACCTGCCCTAGAGCAAACATCAATTGATAGTATTACCCATAATTATTATTATACTTAAGATATAACTCTTTATTATTAAGCAATAGAAGACTAATTATTAAATTTTGTGTGAACAAAATATAGAATAAATCTAGATTTTTTTTCAATATGATATCGTTCCTAACGCTCATTTAAATCGAATCGATTTGGCAAAACTTTTTGGATAAAATACATTCGGCCAAAGTAACCAATTATTACTTTTACAATTTTTAATACAAATAGAATTATTAAACAAATATTTCATCATGGGGTTCTATATCGTTAGGCAAAATATTTCATAATGATGCAACTCCAAATAAATTGGTTTAAATATTTATTCATGATTTCTAGGTTTTGAATCAAACTCAAGATCACAGACAACGTGTACTGGTGAGTGTAGCAAAAGAATTGTCCAACTGGAAAATCATGGTCAGAAAAATGAAGGCAATTTATCATACAATGAACTTATTCAACATGGATGTTACACAAAAATGTTTGATTGGAGAATGCTGGGTACCAGTTAATGATCTACAACTTGTTCAAAAAGCCTTAACTGATGGATCGGTGTGTAAAATAATTTAGAAGTAATGGATATATCATATAGTTCAAGTCATTTGGATTTTTTTGTATTTAAAAAGTATAGTAGAATTTTAGATTTCTCAATGTTCAAATCTTTGAAATTTAAATGTAAATCATATTACAGAACGCGTGTGGAAGTTCAATCGAATCCTTCCTAAATGTTATTGAAACTGAAGAAGCACCTCCAACCTTTAATAGAACTAACAAATTCACTCAAGGTTTCCAAAACTTGATAGATGCCTACGGAGTTGCTAGTTACAGAGAAGTAAATCCAGGTAATTGGAACATCATTTAAAATAAATGTAATATAATCATTTGATTTAATATAAAAATATAATACGTTTTCTTTAATATTTTAGCTCTGTACACCATCATTACTTTTCCATTTTTGTTCGGCATTATGTTTGGAGATATTGGCCACGGTATAATTATGATGTTATTCGGTCTGTTCATGGTAGTTAGAGAAAAGAGTTTGGGTGCCAAAAAAATCAACAGTGAAATTTGGAACATCTTTTTCTCCGGTCGCTATATCATTCTCCTCATGGGTATATTCTCGATGTACACTGGCTTTGTGTACAACGATATTTTCTCCTTATCCATGAACATTTTTGGTTCTGGATGGACATTAAATTATAATTCATCCACTGTGATGGAGAATGAAGAATTAACTCTTGACCCAAAAACAGATGCTGGAGAAGCATATCCTATTGGTTTAGATCCAATGTGGCAGGTAAGGTATAAGCATATGTATTATCAGTTTTCAGAGTATGAAAGAAGTACATGCTATATTAGCGGTATTTACATTTAAATAAAAATGTATGTAAAATGCTTATGTTTATCAATCAAAATTAGATTTATATTGCAAAAGTTATTCAATTTTTTTTATTAACTGACTAACATTTTTACTTTTTATTTTTAGCTGGCTACCAACAAAATTATTTTCTTGAACTCCTTTAAAATGAAGTTGTCTATCATTTTCGGCGTCGTTCACATGATTTTTGGAGTTTGCATGGCCGTATTCAATCACGTGTAAGTGTAAAAATGTATTTAAGGGGGCATTCTGAAAAGTGATCAACATTCAATATGGATGATATTATAATGCCGAATTATTTTATTTATAAATTATGGATGTCAAAACATTTTTTTTTGCCAACTCTACTAAATATATAATAAATATATTTATAAATTTCAACAACTTATATCATTGTATTGTTACAGTCATTTCCGCCAGAAGATCAGCATATTAGTAGAATTTTTGCCCCAATTGGTCTTCTTAGTTCTTCTCTTTGCTTACATGGTGTTCATGATGTTTATTAAATGGATTTTGTACTCTGCAAATAATACAGGTAATGAATCTGAATTATTAGTTAAAAATGATATGCGGAATATAAATTTCATAACATTAAAATTATAGACATCAGATTTGAACCCTGCTGCGCACCATCAGTTTTGATTCTGTTCATTAACATGATGTTATTCAAGCAAGGATCTCCAGCAGAACAATGCGATGAATTTATGTTTGAAGGACAACAGCAAATTCAAAAAATATTTGTGTTAATTGGGCTCTGCTGTATTCCGCTCATGCTCTTAGGCAAACCATTATATTTGATGGCAACCAAGAAAAATAAAGATGTAAGTAGTAATTGTTATTATTGTATCATTGATTATAGTAGACTTACATTAAATGATAAAAACCGAATAACATTTAGAACAACCCGAAAAATCACTGATGTTATTTATTTCAATTGTAAAAAGCTTATAATATAGTATCATCACATTATAATCTATTTTTATAAACTTAAGGAAGCTCCTCATTCTGCTAAATCAAATGGTGATTTAAACCAAGGAATGGAAATGACTTCAGACGTTGTCTCCAGCCAAGAAAACGGTATGCCAGAGGCACCAAAGGCACCGCCAAAAGCAGCTCATGGAGAACACGAAGAAGAACCCATGAGTGAAATTTTCATTCACCAAGCAATTCATACCATTGAATACGTACTGAGTACAGTATCTCACACCGCCTCTTATTTGCGTCTGTGGGCCCTGTCACTTGCTCACGCACGTACGTATCAAATATTTTTTATAAATATATGATATATCAAGAATTATACCATCTAGAACTTTACCCATCTATTGAGACTATTCTCGAAAAAAATCTTACGCCGACGTCATACTTACATCGTTCAAAATATTGTAAAAAGTGTAATAGCAATTCTCTTTTTTTATACAACCTCTGTAAAAGCTTACTCGTGGGTGGTGTAAAAAGGACCAACTAAACAGAAAACTAGCTGTAAGTGGAATTCTGTCTTAAAGCAATTAATGCATCGTGTCTTCAGGCAAATTGCTGGAACTTCCCGTACCAAAAATTATTATTTTTTTTAAAAACAATTAACATTTTTGAAAAAATTTTACTTCGAAAAAATAAGATGTTTGGGAAACTATACATTGCTATATACACTGGACGAAAAATTACTTTTTTTTGATAAAAATAATTATTATTATTATTTTTTTTTTTAATTTTTTTTTGAGATTTTTAATTTTTTTTCTTTATTTTGACATATTTTGGAAGATTTAAACTTTTTTTCAAAGCAATCGTACTGCTTTAACTGCATAAAGACGAAATATCAAAGTGCGTAAGCGCCGCGTTGCCGTCTAACATTGGTACGGAACCAATAGGAATGTAAATAAAATTTATACTTATTGTTAAAATCTCTATAAAATATCTGATAATTTGATGTGCATATGTCTAATGATCATTTTTGCCCGCCAAATGACATTTTTTTTACTTTTTTCATTAGATCTCCGAAACCGCTAGACTTGCCTTTATGAAAATTTGATCGGTTCTTCACCTTGTCAATACAAGTAAAATGTTTTTTGATTTATTAAAATCGGACGCTCCGTTCTCTTAAAAACTGAGTTACCGTTTTTGGCACTTTTTGCCCCGTATCTTCGGAACGGCTAGACCTGCCTTTGCCAAAACTAATCACCACGTCTCCTTATCAATACGAATCGAATGTTCTTTGAATTATTCAAATTGGTTGATCGGTGTTCCCGAAATCGTCGACGAAAATTTGTATCCGCACATACATACACACATACATCCATTTTTTCTAAGGTATGCCAAAATATTCAGAAACCTTTGAAACGTCGAGAAATGCAAAAATTTTCATTTTCGATTTTTTTGCGATTACTATAACTTGCCCTACGGGAAGTTAAAAATTAGAAAAAGCAAGATTATAGGGGATAAATTAAATAAATATTTATTCCAACTTCGATGATAAATATTTCTGATAAAATACCAGATCAAGGTTAAGTATATACAGAGTTAAAAATGTATCCATGAAATATATCACTTCACTCAATAAGTCCGTAGGATAATAAAGAAAAATCATTTTTTTGGCATTTTTTTTTATTTAATATAGTTTCTAATTAATAGATTATAGTGAACTTCGAACTTTTCGAAACCATTGTTGTAGTACAATTTGTACTTAGCCACAAAATTCGGCCGCTGGGGAACAGATCTAGAAAACATAGTGAGTAGGAAAGCGATTTGGAGCCTCTTTCAAGTTTTTTTGGCAACTATTTTTACGGAATTGTGACTTGGTGCATTGTCCTGATAGAACAGCACGGTTTCTTTTTCAAATGGGGCCGTTTTCCCGATTTTGATTTTCAAATGTTTCAATAACTTTATACAATAGTCTCTATTGATGGTCTGGCCTTTTTCCAGATAGTTGATGAAGATCATTTCTTGCGTATCCCAAAAAACTGACGCGATAACCTTGCCAGCTAATTGGTTGCATTTTTTCTCGTCATCGTCTCTAGTTCACTCGGCTAACTGTCTGTTCGACTCCGGAGTGTAGTGTTGAAGCCAGATCATTTCCGTGGTGATATATTGATGCAAAAACTCACTTTTATTTCGATTAAACAGCTCCAAATACTCTTACAAATCATCAACCCGTTATGCTTTTGGTCAAATATGAGTTTGCGCGGCACCCGTTTAGCACAGAGGTTTTTCCTATTCAAATATTCGTGAACGATATGTCCATCACGTTGTATTGATATCTTTAGGGTGTCAGCTATCTCTAGCAATTTTACTTTTCGGTTTTCCAAAACGTTTCTAAAAACTTTTTTATATTTTCCGGTGTAAACACCTCAATTGACCTTCCAGAGCGTTCAGCATCGTCAGTGGCTGTATGACCACGATTAAAATCAGGCAACCACTTCTTCACCATCTACCTCAATTTGGAACAGTCCAGATAATACTTATTAAGCGATTTTTACCCATCAAAAACCAATGATAAATAAACACACAAAGTTTCTTTGAATTTATGGTTTCGAAAAACTCAAAGGTAGCGATTGTCATGAAATTTTGACATATATCTTCTTAAAGTCTATCTTAAAGTTGCTGTTTCCTACAAACCATATGGTTGAAAACATAGCTACATCATCTATGTGCTATCCTACGGACTTATTGAGTAACGCATTAATATTAATAGGTATTATTTCGTAAAATCTCTTTAAAATTAAAAATAAGATTTTGGACCTCTTTGCCTCCTGCTGGTCCGATTTTACCGCGCCTATTAGGTACAATTGACTAGGTACAAATAGCAAAAAGCATATTTCTACAATTAGATAAATTATCTAGGTTTTACTGAACATAGCCAGACAGTTGCTTTTGATTGCTCAAAGTCAAATTGGACCTTTGTGCTCCGCCATACCCTCTTAAGCACTCACCTTAATGTAAAAATACTAAAAAAAATTTTTTTATATGAGTTATACGCTTCTATCCTTCTAATGAACTATGTCAAATCAAAGAGTTAATCTAATTTATTCTATTACAGAACTTTCAGACGTATTGTGGAAAATGGTGTTGTCCATGGGATTGAGCCAAACAACATATACTGGCTCGATTATGCTCTATGTGATATTCTGCGTGTGGGCACTATTCACAATTGCCATCCTAGTCATGATGGAAGGCCTTTCTGCGTTCTTGCACACACTGCGTCTTCACTGGTAAGTTACTCATAGTTGGATATCAATTTTATTTTTGGATTCAATTTTTTTATACATGATTTTCCATTGCCCTTGCCTCTGGTCCCCATAAATGCCGAAATGTGTGTATGTGTGTATGTGTGTTGTGTGAGAGAACAGATTTTTTGCCGTAATTCGACGTTTTCTCAAAAACGGCTGGGCCGATTTCAAAAATTTAAAAGCCATTCGATTTATTGCGCGACGATCAGACAAGCCGTTTCTTTGTCAATAGCAGAAAAGTGAAAACATTTCGTCCACGTTTTAGCCCGCAGTTCTGAATCGATTTTGAAAATTCAAAAACCGTTCGAAAGATATTGGTGCTGATGAGTTTTTGGTAGAGATCGGCCGGGCAGTTTTCTTGTAATGAAGTGTTAAAAAATTTTTTTTCGACGATTTTTATGATTTTTTTTTTTGATGGCAGATACCATAGTCTTATAGATCATACTAAAATACTGCGGACTTGCGACAAGTCATTTAATTTTAAAAATTCATCAAACTTTGCAAAAATTATAATCGTTTTTTTTGGCGTATGTCAAACTTAGAACTTTTATCGACGATTGCTTAAAAACACCTGAACCGATTTCAAAAATTTAAAAGCCGATCGATGTATTTCGGTGTGAATTATCTTTTCTCAGTTTTGTGCAGCGATCGGCTAAACCGTTTCTTTGTAATTTGAAAAAAATGTTAAACTTTTCGTCCACATTTAAGCTTATAGTACCGAATCGATTTTTAAAAATCAAAAACTGTTTGAAAGTTATTAGCTCGGAATGATACTGATTAGCTTTAGGTGAAAATCTACCGAGACGTTTTCTTGTAACTAACTGTTGAAAAAAAATTAAACCGATTTTCATGGAATTTTTTTGGCGATATATATCACGGTCTTATATAACTTGCTGAAATATTACGTCATTACGACAAGTAGTTTAATTTTAAAAATTCATCAAAGTTTGAGAAAATGAGTAGTTTTTTTCACGTTTGTTAAAATTAAAATTAGACGATTTATTTGGTATAACGATAGATTTGGTATAACTTGGTCTTAATAAACATACTAAATCATTAAAGTCTTACGGAAACTGGTTCAATTATAAAAATTATTGATTTTTGAAAATTTGCTTTCAGACCGGGTTGACGTGTTCGATTTTCAATAATGTGTAATAAATCCACTTCGAATACTTTTAACCACTATTAAATTAATTTACACATACACATATCGGGAAGTTCGTGTAACTTGCCTTTAAGAATTTTATACTTGCCTATTTTAAAATTTTATTCATGACTTAACTCAAAATTTAATTAGTTACCAACTACCAACTAGATACCAACTAGTTAAATTTTGAGTTGCCATGAATAAAATTTTAAAATAGTTTACCTGTTAATAAATTTAGTTAATGGAAGCATTTTCATTCAAAGCTGCACAATAAGATTTTATGAAGGTGCATCTTATATATACTGCTTTGACAAACAACGAATATGCTTTTCTGAATATTTTTTTATAAATAGGATATAAAAAATATTAAAAAATGTATAGTGCAAAATATGATGAAATAATTTTAATTATCAATTATTTCTCTACTCGCAGATCATTCTTAATAATTTTTTTTTCCATTTTCAGGGTGGAGTTCATGAGTAAGTTCTACTCTGGTTTGGGTTATTTGTTCCAACCCTTCTGCTTCAAAACTATTTTGGACGCGGAGGATAAGGAAGCAGAATAATCAATTTATCTATTATTTAAATAAATTAAAAAAACAAATTAGTTATAAAGAAGTTATAAAAAAGTAAATTATTGTTAAAAATTGATTTTCAAAGGTCTGTAAGTGTTTTTGAATTAGCACTAATTTGTAGTACAAAATGGTTAATAAGACATAATGAATTAATTCAATTGGGCATATTATTTTTTGATAATACTTAAAATCATTATTATATAATGATATTGAATACTTTATGGTTACAATTTCTTTTTATTTATAGTTTTAAATATTATAATTAACTTTTATTCCAGTTGGAATTGTATAGGACTATTGAATAATAATGACTTTGTTATTACTCGTAAATTAATGCTGGTTATTTGAACTTTTACAAGTCGAAACAGACTAATTTAACCATGTAATGCATAAGTGGTGCTATTATGTTCTGTTTATTCAATAGTTCAAAACTTTGAAAATACTCCTAGCAAAGTAAATACCGAAAATTTTTAAATTTATTGTTTTTTTAACTTCACAAAGGTGAATATTATGCTTTTGCAAAAAAAAAAAAAACGATTTGCTGACAGGTAGACAGGTAAATAGGCACAAGTAGACAAGTAAATGCGAGGCAGGTAGGCAGGTACAAAAGTAGAAAACTTACACAGGAGGACAATTAAAAATGCATAATTACACAGTACAATTGAAAATGCGTACTTAAACAGGTAAACAAGTAGACTGTTAGACAGGTAAATCATATACAAATCAAATATTCATTGATTAAATCGGTTATTTACACATATCGGATAGTTCATGCCACTTGCCTTGAGGCAAAATTCCATTTACACCTACCAAATTTAATTAGGCAAATGCCACTTTAAAAAATAGTACAATATTAGATTTTATAGAGCAACTTGTTCTATAAAATTGCTTACTTATGTGCGATTCATTCATTGTATTACAAAGTTTTGATTTCCTTGCATTAAAAGTGGTCCTTGTTACTCCGTCTGCAAGTATTAGAAAGTATTTATAAATCTCCACCTTTTATTCGAAAAAAAACTTCTAATTAAATTCAAAGTATATGGTCGTGATTCTATATAGAATAGAAACCCCCCTGGTATTTAAATGATTTGGACATTTTATAGGTCTTTTCGAAAAAAAACCCTTTATATCAAGTTTCCCTAGCGCATCATTTACCGAGATATCATTGAAAATATGCGAAAGGAAATCTTTTATATTTATCAACAAACAAATAACGATTCCATTCAGATCTTGTATGCTATATTAATAACTAAAAATGTTTATTAAAATAAAATAAAAACTAGTGGGGTGGGTGGCATCGTGCCTTAAGGCAAATTGCTGGAACTTCTCGTACCGTAACGATTATTATAAATATTGTAATTGTAACATTGACTAATATTTATAAGAATTATATAAACTAAATTGCAAAGTTGAAATTATTTGTAAAGTATATTGGACTATAGTCAGAATTAAAAATAAAATCTGAATTATTTTCGATATACAAAAAATTAAAAAAAAAAAAAAAAATTGAAACAATTTTTTTTTTCAAAATCAATTATTTTGTTAAGACAAGCAGAAAGTTCTTTGAATCATTTGAATTGGACGCTTAATTCTCTCAAAACTGCTATTTTTTATATATTTAGCTCCGTATCTTCGAAATGGCTGGGCCTGTCTTTGCCAAAAACTAATAAACACTTCTCCCAATCACTACTAATTGAATGCTTTTTCGATCATTCTAATCGGATACTCCGTTCTTTCAAAAACTCGATTTCTATTTTCTGCACTTTTTGCTCCGTATCTCCGTAACTGCTGGACCTGCCTTTGCCAAAAACTAATCAGCTCTTCTCCTATCAATAGGAATCGAATGTTTTTTGTACCATTCAAATCGGTTGATCCGTACGCCCGAAAACGTGGGCGAAAAATTGTATCCATACATAGATACACACACACACATCCATTTTTTCTGAAGTATGCTAAAATGTTCAGAAACCTTCAAAACGTCGAGAAATGTAAAAATTTTCAATTCCGATTTTCGGCCCATTACAATAACTCACCCTACCGAAAGTTAACTAGTGGGGTGCATGGCATCGTGCCTTAAGGCAAATTGCTGGAATTCCCGTACCGTAATTGAAAATCTTGGTACCCAACCCAAAGAAATTTACAACAATGTGTACACATTATTAAAATCTCTATAGAATATCTGATAATCTGATGTACATTTTTTTGATATTTTTGACCGCCAAAATGACACGGATCCAAATGAACACGGATCAACCGATTTGAATAATTTAAAAAAAAACATATATTCGTATTAAAAAGGAGGCGTGCTGATTAATTTTGGCATAGGTAGGTCTAGCCGTTTCGAAGAAGAAGAAACGGGGCAAAAGTGCCTAAAACGGTTAACTCATTGTTTTAAGAGAACGGAGGGTCCGATTTTATTCATTCAGAAAAAATTTTACTTGTATTGACAAGACGAAAAACTGATTTAATTTTTGGAAGGCAGATCTATTTTTCGGAGATCTAGTAAAAAAAGGAAAAAAAAGCCATTTGGTGGTCAAAAATGATCATTAAACATATGCACATCAAATTATCAGATATATTTATAGAGATTTTAACAATATAGTAGTAAATTGTGTTTACATTCCTTTGGGTTCCGTACCAATATTTATCATATTCCGTCAGTTAAAGCAGTACGCTTTAAAAAAAGTTCAGAATTTCCA